ACCGGAGCCTTTCCCATCGTAGCTTCCACTTTGTGGAATGGGCTCCCTGTGGATGTAAGGGGTGCACCGTCGCTAGAAATATGGAGAAGCTGCTGTAAGGTTGTTTTCTTTGCCATGGCTTTTTATGGGGTTTAGACTGCAGGCATCTTATGCATGTGTGTGTATGATATTATTTGGGGCTCTATTTTGCATGAGTTTTGTAAGTTTCCTTGAGCCACAATGACAGGCGGGATATAAATAGTTAATAGTGGCCCTTTTCTCATTACTGTTCTGAACTAGATGAAATTTGTTGGCCAGTTTCAAGTAAAGCGATAACAGGGACAGGTTTCATACAGTGAATTTCCTTCTGTTAATGAGCCATCTCTGAAGCGCTGTGGTCATTTCAAACACTGCTGCTTTTTCCTCTGCTCTTTTTTGCCGCATGATCTTCCTCAGACTTTTTTTAACATTCTGAGTTGAGCTCTATAGTGCTAAACCAATATAGCATTTTCGTGCTATAGCAGCACCATTGAGATGCCTTGACTCCATTGACTCTATAACAGGTTAGCACTATAACACTCACCTTAGAACATTTTTTAAATCGGCGAGGGATGTTGTGGAAAAAGAGGGGGGGGGGGGGGGGGGGTGAGCTGTATTGTAGGAAGTGCTATGGACATTTTAAACAGCACTCCAGAATTATTCAAAAGCACAACGAAGGGGTTGAAAACAGAAAAAAGCAGTTTCCCTCAAAAGCAGTTCAACTGCATTTTGTTAACCTGATGCAAGTGGGCTTGTATGGATAGGTGGGCCATTCTGGTGTAGTGGTTAAGTGTGTGGACTCTAACCTGGGAGAGTTTGAATCCCCACTCTTCCCCTTGCAACTGCTGGATGACCTTGGGCAGGCCATAGTTCTGGCACAGCTGTTCTTTGAAAAAGAGCAGTTTCTGCCAGAGCTCTCTCAGCCCCACCTACCTCACGGGGTGTCTGTTGTGGGGAGGGGAAGGGAAAGGAGTTCGTAAGCCGCTCTGAGACTCCTTTGGGTAGTGAAGGGCAGGGCATAAATCTAATCTCGTCCCTTCTTCTTTTTCTAGGTAAATAAATTCCGCTAGCAGCCAGTTACTAAAACGGGTCTGTCTGAAATGACAGAAAAAAATCCATTAGCAACCAGTTACTAAAATGGAATACCAAGGCAGTTTGAAAAGAGTCACTGGCTATCAGTTTATGTCTGGGCACAATTCAGATGTCAAAGTAGTTTGGAACTGGGATCTCTGAAGGCCCTCCTGTTCCTGCATAGACCTTCCTGTATGTCAAAAGCGTCTTCTGGGTCTTGACTCTGGCTGCTGTCTATCCCAAACAGTCAGTTGGCTACTAGGGGCAGCCTTTTGCATCATGGCAAGAACTTTGGAATGCCCTCACCTGCTAGATCAGGTTGTTCTGGCCCAAGCTTTTGACCATACTTAACTTCTGTTTACAGGGGTGTATGTGTAGTAATCTCCTTTGTATTGTTTAATTACCTTGGAGGCATAGACTTGATTGGAGGAATATACTTAGATACAAAATGTTTGTTTTGGATTGATCCGCCATACACATATGGGCGTGGTAGACTTGGTTTTCTTTTTCTGTTTTGCTATTTTAGTGTTTGGTTTCTCTTTATATTAGTCTTTAATCCAGCAAGGAAATTCACAATTGCATCTGTAGTATCTTCTCTTTCATCATCTTCAATATGCTTCACGTGCACAGGTGTTGTGCTGAGATTGCTTCCTCAAAATGTTGAATACATTTCCAAGTAAATAAATTTGATTCAGTTTGTGTGAGAAATCCCAGATCAGTGTGGCGCCTTGGAATTTCATCACAGTGCCTGGTATTTTTGACAGCTGATTTTATCCTAGCATCTCTCAGCAATCCTTGCTTATCATTTTGTGTCAGAATATTTGTATGACGCAAAAATGAATATTCATAAAGTCCTTGTCATCTGCTTGTTGACATGTAAACGTTAATTTTAGGCCGTTCGGTGGCAGCAGATAAACTTATTTCCTAAACAGTTATTTTTCTTTACTGGCTCTAATATTCAGTTAAATGGAGATGCAGCTTGTTTATGAGAAATTGGGGGAAAGAAGTTAGGTTAAGGTTAGAAGTTAGTGATAATTAAGTTAATGGGGATTTCCCCTATAATTATTTATTCACTGCAACCTTCTTACCCTGGCATTTATGAAATTATGAAAAACTGTGGGGGGGGAAGGTCAGGATCTGGAAGCAATAGTTAGAAAATGTGGCTATTAAACATAAAACCCTGATGAGTTGAAAACAAAGCTTCTGTATTTTCAGGCTGGGTTTTAGATTTTAAAAGATGAAGCGTGATTTAAACTGGCAGTGCGGTGGCACGAGTGGTTAAGACGCTGAACTGCAGACTGGAAGGTCGGTAGTTCAGCGGTTCGAGACCCGAGTGCCGCATGACGGAGTGAGCTCCCGTCTCTGGCCCCAGCTCCTGCCAACCTAGCAGTTTGAAAGCAAGAAATTGCAAGTAGATAAATAGGTACCGCTTCAGTGGGAAGGTAACAGCGTTCCGTGTGCCTCGGCATCTAGTCATGCCGGCCACATGACCACGGAAACGCCTTCGGACAGCACTGGCTCTTCGGCTTGGAAACAGAGATGAGCACCACATCCCTAGAATCAGATTCGACTGGCTTTCAAGCAAGGAAAACCTTTACTATAAGTATATGGTTAATGATTAGGTATGTACTTAATGACTGCAGGCCCCATTTTTGGCAGCTTTGGCAGCCTTGGTGATCTTCAGATTCTGTTCTTCTTTTTTTTGGTAAACAAATTTTATTTTCTCAGGAATACAACATATAAAATTAAATCATTTCGTTCTATCAATTGTCTACCCCATTCCCAGTTCCTCCCCTCCCTCCAGTGGCTTCCCGCAATGCTTCCACCCCTGCTCCAAATTACTTCGTATCATCAACTATATCAATTTCTTATCATTACAATCTAAAGATAACATCATTTGACTTAATATTGATCTAAACATATTAAGTTTTGTTTCACATCCCAGTTCTTTTCCAGATATATTTTAAAGTCACTCCATTCTTGAAAAAACACGTCGTCTTCTTTATTATTCAACTTCTTCGTAATTTTGTCCATCTCTGCCATGAACAGAACTTTTTGTATCCAGTCTTCAATTTCTGGCACTTTCTCTGTTTTCCAAAATTGTGCATAAATCATTCTCGCTGTTGTGATTAAGTACCAGAATAAAGTCTTTTTAGTTGTATTGACTTCTTCCATTTTCAGTCCCAAAAGCAGAATTTCCGGCGCCTTTTTGAAAGAGCATTTCAGTATTTTTTGCATTTCTTTCTGGACTTTTGTCCAAAAGTCAACTGCTTTCTCACAAGTCCACCACATGTGGTAAAATGAGCCTTCATGGCTTTTACATTTCCAACACTTATTTGACATATTCTGGTTCATATTTGCAATTTTTTTCGGAGTCATGTACCACCTATACATCATTTTATAACAATTCTCTCTAACATTGGTACAAGGCGATATCTTAATAGAATTTTTCCACAAATATTCCCAGGTTTCAATAGCCACTTCCGTATTCATATTTATCGCCCATTTTATCATTTGCCCTTTTACAGTCTCATCTTCAGTATACCATTTTAGTAACACTTTATACATTTTAGAGATATTTTTTCCCCCTTCACTCTCCCAAATCATTTCAATCTCATTTTTTTCCTCTCTAAAACCATAGTTTCTTTTGTCTGATCTAAAAAGATCAAAAATCTGCATATATTTCAACCATTCATATTCATATTCAATTTCATTCTGCTTTTTCATTACCCATTCTGTTCCCACTTTTTTAATTAGATCTTTATATGGCAACCAATCTTTATCTCTATGTCTTGAGTAAGATGTTAACACTTCCACTGGTACAATCCACAATGGTCTTACATCACAAAAGTATTTTTTATACCTCATCCATACCACAAATAGTGCTTTTCTTACCACATGAAGCTTAAAAAAGCTATCCATTTTTGTTTTGTCATACCATAAATATGCATGCCAACCAAATCTACAATCATGGCCTTCTAACCCCAGTAACTTATCATTTTCTAATTTCACCCACTGTTCCATCCAGGTTAGACAGACCGCTTCATAATATAGTCTAAGATTTGGTAGTTGTAGCCCACCTCTGTCTTTGGCATCACAAAGAATTTTCATCTTAATTCGCGGTTTCTTGCCTGCCCAAACAAACTTTGATAGTTCTTGTTGCCACTTCAGATTCTGTTCTAAAAGGCCTCGGGGTGGCCTCATTTTGTGTGTCTGTTGCCTTCTGTTACAGATGTGGTTAGTCTTAGTGCTGGATGGGTTCTTAATACTCTGGATGGAATACTTAGTACAGGATGGAATACTTAGGCTGAGTTCAGACTGGCAGTTTGGCCCGATAGAGGCACGTTTCACAAATGGATTGAAGGGGCCGGTTCACACAGCCACAGCTGTCAGGCGTTCCCCAGCCATACTCACCCCATCCTATGACGATTCCCTACCGTGTTAAAAAAGTACCAGGTGAAAGCCGTAGCAAACCTTGGAGGGCGCATTGATCCTGCTTCCCGGAAGTGTGCACACTAAAAGCCGCAAACAAGCCGCATTGCTGCGGTGCTGCTGCACCTATGCGCATAGGCGCATGTCGCCGGAGTGAAAAAAAGCCGCTTACAGCTGTGCCTCTGCCAGGGGCGGGCCAACAGTGCGAACGCTCCCTTGTGCCTCCTCCCCGGTATGCTCCCGCATCAGTAGGTGCAGTGCAACCGGGAATCCCCGGCGCGACTTGGTCCGGTCTTTTTGCCCCGCCTCCCTCATGCTTCATACTGCCAGTCAGTTCTCAGCCTTAGTGTAGCATTTTCAGGGGCGATAAAATCAAGGTATAAACTGCTTGTTAGCTCCTTTTTTTAGAGGATAATGTGAAACTTCATCTTGTGAAATATTAATACGGGGTTAATTTGCTGTTAATGCCTTGACAACAGGCTGCTGGAGAAAAGGCAGTGAGAGAAGAATTTCCGGATGCCATCATCATGAAGCCTGCTGAAATGTTTGGAAGAGAGGACAAGTTTTTGAACTATTATGCAAGTATGCACTTACTGGAGCATGAAATCTGCTTTGTTAAGGGGAAAGTAATGCTGGAGAGGAAGTGGTAGAATCTCACTTCTTTCCACCATTGCTCCCAATTGTGCCTCTGTTCCCTCATGCCAGCCCATGTCATGAATCAATGACTAGAATGACTGGCAGCTACTTCACATCACCTCCTATCTGGTTCTTTTAACTGGAGATGCCGGGGTAGTTGAACCTGTGACTTTTGGCATGCCAAGCAGATGCTCTGGTTTTGATCTACAGCCCAGCCCCGTTTTAAGTTCATTTCCCTCTTCAAACTGTTGCTACTGTCTTCTGGAGATATAGTTGTAGATCTTAGTGGTTCTTTGTGATGCACATTTGCCTGGGTTTGTTACTCTAGAATTGTAAACATCGGAAACTTTGCCAAGCCCGTTTTTGTTTATTCAAAATGAAGACTTGGCCCCCTCCCATCTCTTTCCATTCCTTGGGATTGGCAGGAGGAGCCTCTTCTCTGGTTGTATCCATTGAGAGAGGAAAGGTTTGCTGTTTCAAACTTGGGTGATCACAGCACTCAATACAGAAGTTGGATTTTTTTTCCACTAGAGAGGAAATGGAATTTTAGAAACTCAAAATCCTGCACTCTTGAGAATTAAAGTTTATCTGTTGGAATTTGAAAGCATTTCCTTTAATCCGAAACTGAAGAATGCTTTCGGAAAGTTTTACTCAACTTTTTGTCATGATTCATCTTTATATTTGTGTGTTCGGTATGTGTTCAGGACACCATTCTCTTTCAAGGTTTTTGGGTCACAGGTTCAGTCTCCTGCATCTCTGGTTGAAAAACTTGGGTAGGAGGTGATGTGTTAAACTTTGACCAGGGACCCTGGAGAGCCATATCTTCAAGACTGAACTTGAGGAACCAAGGGTCTGATTCGGAATCAGACCACTGCATATGTATGTGTAATTGCACATCCATCATTTTTTTAAATTTTATTGTATTTAAGAAAGAAGTAATAATAACTACTGTAAATACAACCTGAATTATACTGTAAATACAACCTGAGAGAGACAGTTTGGTGTAGTGGTTAAGTGTGCAGACTCTAATCTGGGAGAACTGGGTTTGATTCCCCACTCGTCCACTTGCACCTGGCTGGATGACCTTGGGCAAGCCATAGTTCTGGCACAGCTGTTCTTGAAAAAGAGCAGTTTCTGTCAGAACTCTCTCGGCCCCACCTACTTCACAGGGTGTCTGTTGTGGGGAGGGGAAGGAAAAGGAGTTTGTAAGCCCCTCTGGGTGGGGTATAAATCCAATATCTTCTTCTCCTTCTGTATACTTTAGTAAAAGCAAATATTGCATGAAATGGACCTTAAGTTTCATTATTTATTTATTAAATGTATATGGCTCAACATGCCAAAATCTAGTGGCTGTGAACTCGACAGCCACTTCTGGCCATTCTGCAGGGTCTTCCCCTCCTTTCAGACAGATGTAGGAGTTCCCTGCTTTCTGGGCATGTTCTTTTATTTATTAATTTTTTAAAAGGCAGTTGAGTCTCACGTTGATGTTTTAAGGTATGGTTGTATGTTTTGCTGAAAGCCTCCCTCCAGGCAGCTTTTCTTTGGTTCCTGATAGCCCCATTTGCATTCCCCAAGTAACTTATCCATCTCTGTTTAGACATGCGCTGGTTTGTGGGTGTGCCGCTGATTTCCATGGGCAAGAAAACAGTGAAACAGCCTATCTATGTAGGTATTTAGGCAAAAATGTCCATTTTAGAGTTTATTAAAAAAAAACCTTGCCGTTTATGTTAATGTTTGTTCTTGAAAATTTTAACCCGCAGGTGGTTGATGTAGCCAAGGCAATAATTAATGCCATTAAGGAACCTGATGCTAAAGGCAAAACGTATGCATTGACCGGGTAGGTTAGTCTTTTTACCATAAACCATGAAACCTTTCTATCTGGTATCTCTGATCAATACTGCAGTGTTATAGTGCTACAGATTGTGTGTGTGTGAGAGAGAGAGAGAGAAAGAAATAGACATGCAGATTACAAGAACTCAAGTTAGTGATCATCTGGAATTATTAGATCAGAGTGGGTTTCCAATTTTGTAATTCACCTAACTGGTTGCGGCCACAATCAAAACATATTGGTTTGCGCTAAATCAAGCCTTTGCACTGTCTCGGAACCCAGTTGAGGAACTTTGATCAGACAGCTAAGCAGGATCTTTGGCAGTAAGGCTGGAGTTTTCAGAAGTGACAGTGAATGCCAAATGTAATCAAAAGAGAAAATGATCTTGTTATAAACCTGGACTTCAGAAGTTAGCAGTTCTTTCACCAGACCTTTATCCAAACAGTTTTTAAATTAATGAGCAGTGAGCCCTGACCTGAATAGCCTAGGCAAGCCCGGTCTCGGAAGCTAAGCACTGGCTTCTAGTCTAGTAAGTAGGGTCGACTCTGGCAAGTTCTTGGATGGGAGACGACCTTGGAATGCCAGAGGTAGGAGGATGGGGGCAGGCTTTATTCAGCCACCTCTCTGAATATCCTCCCGGCCCCCAGTAGGGATCAGTCACCAGAGGTCGCCATGACTTCCAAGTGCACACACACTTATATACACACATACATGCACATGTGAAAAAAATACAACCCCCCCCCAAAAATTAATAGGCAGTGTGAGTGTATGGGGGTCAAAACCCAAAAGTGAGTGATAACTCTTTATGTGTGTGAGAGGGGAGGGGTAAATGAATCAAGGAGGAAGAACTGGGGTGAAATTCAAGAGGAATCTCTGTGGCTTCCCCGTAATGTGTGTAATGGCCATGAGATACAGCGTCCTGCTTAGCCTGTCCTAGGTGTTGGTGCTGCCTTAAGAGCAGTGGGCCAGTTCTCAGTATTTGCTTATTTACTTCATTTGCAGCCCATCTCTCTTGTTGAAACTCAAGGTGGATCACTACATACATAGATCGGTTCAGTTGGACAGCATATTGCATTGCGAAGTAGTCCAAACACTTGATAGCATACATGTTTTTACCTTGAGTGATAGGCCGTCTTTCACATTAGAATGATCTGGCAATTTTCTGCTTCAAAATATTGAGTAACTATGTAATAATATATATAGAAGTTATCTTTTTAAGTGTTTCCTCAACCTGGATTCCTGCTTGGCCTTCATATCACTCCCGAGATCTTTACCATCATATTTCTTTAATTGCTGACACACCTATTTTTATATGGCTGGAAAGCAGGATAAAAATGCAACAACATTGCTTTTTCTGTTCCATGTTATTTTGTCCTGGGGTGGGTGAGGGTGGGAAGAGGGGTTAAAGTTCAAATATGCTGCAAGGTTTTTTTTTCCCATCAAGCTATTTTTAGGGCAGAGCCTTTCTGACAGATATTTTTGGCTTCAGCTTCCTGTGCACCTTTGATTCTTTCTCTGCTCACTTGAGGTTTGATTCCCCACTCTTCCACTTGCACCTGGCTGGATGACCTTGGGCAAGCCATAACTCTGACACAGCTGTCCTTGAAAAAGAGCAGTTTCTCTCAAGAGTTCTCTCAGCCCCACCTACCTCACAGGGTGTCTGTTGTGGGGAGGGGAAGGGAAAGGAGTTTGTAAGCTGCTCTGAGACACCTTTGGGTAGTGAAGGGCGGGGTATAAATCCAATCTCTCTTTTCTTTTCTTCTCTTCCCTTCCAAGATTTCACCACTGCACATCTAAAATAACGTCCTTACAGCAGTTTTACTTTGCCGCTCATGAGGATTGTTTCGTATGCACTGAGCTTTCAGGCCACCAGTGCTATTCACTTAGCAACCAGAGCTGTTTCAAAAACTCGTGTAACTGGGATATAGCAGAATACCATGTACTGGAACATGAATATGCTTTAATCATGTTCTGGTTTCCATTTGCCTCTCAAAACCTCTTCCTAAAGAGGTGATGTTATATTATGTGCCCAGATTATGCGTGATTTTCACATAAAAATGGAGTTCGCGTGTACCCTCCTAAACTTCTTATCCATATTACAATGCATAAACATCAGTAGGAATGGCTGCAAGAGACACAGCTTGACTGAATTTAAACTTTACTTTGCCTTTCCCCCCTGCAGCATGCATAGATACGTCCTTTATGATCTGGTACGTTATCTTTATGCGGTTCTCCACAGAGGTTTTCTCCCATATCCACTGCCTCGGCCTTTGTATCAGTAAGTATAGTGTCTGTCTGTCTCTTCTTTTGTCAGTCATATAAATCACAGGAACTCGATTCAGATTTTGCAGTTACAGGGTACATTCAGATCTGTGATAAGAGGCCCTTAAATTTCACTGCAGTTGGTGAGCCTGAAGGGACGTCTTGTGTTCTCTACCTTGCATAGAATGTACTGCCTGAGTGAGGAACTCGTGTTTATTTCTACATGGGTTCTGGGGGGGGGGAGGCATTTAGAACATGCAACATGTGCTGCATTCTGACCATGAGAATGGTCTTGGGTAAGAGGGGATGCGTTTCTAAAATTGAGTCTTCATTCAGGTTCTGAACAAGAATGGCAGCAAAAGAAGGTTCATGAAAGAATTTTGTGCTGTTTCTGCCTGACCCATTTTGAGGAAAGGACCTCCTACAGCCCTCCTCCCCGTGGGCAAGGGAACTGTGGGATCCAGTTACCAGTATCTGCTTCTGTTATCCGTGACCATTCCATCATCTTGCTTGATGCTGCAGTTCAATATTCCCCTCTGCCCGATGTTCCCTGCTCCTCAAGGGAATGGGGATTACGTTGAATCATAAAGTTGGGATCTCCAGGGTCATCTAGTCCAACCCCCTGCACAATTCAGGAAATTCAGAAATACTTTGTCCCACACACACACCCAGTGACCCCGGTTCCATGCCCAGAAGATAGCAAAAACCCTCCAGGATCCCTGGCCAAACTGGCCTGGAGAAAAATTGCTTCCTGACCCCAAAGTGGCAATCGGCATTTCCCTGGGTGTGTAAGAAAGGGCCACAAGAACTAAGCACTCATGCAACCCTTCCTGCCCTTCCTTTCATGATCTGCCTAAGTTCACAGAATCCATGTTGCTGTCAGATGACCATCTAGCCCCTGTTTGAAAACCTCCAAAGGAGAGCCCACCACCTCCTGAGGAAGCCTGTTACGCTGAGGGACTACTCTATCAGGAAGTTCTTCCTAATGTTTAGCTGAGAGCTCGTTTGATTTAATTTCAAATCATTGGTTCTGGTCCAACCTTCCGGGGCAACAGAAAACAACTTTGTACCATCCTCTCTATGACAGCCCTTCAAGTACTTGAGGATGGTTATCATATCATCTTTCAGTTGTCTCCTCTCCAGGTTAAACAACAGTGTTATCAAAACTCATAATTGTGATGGTTCTCTGTTTTCTGCTTTGCATTACAGTTTATGTGCAAGGTTCTTTGAGGCAAGCCCCTTTGAGCCGTGGACAACCAGAGACAAAGTGGATCGGGTAGGCATGAGTTTGCAGTTGCTGATTCTTGCATGTTCTTTCCGACTGTTCGGGCTGAAAGAATTTTTGATGTGTTTAGCACCTTAGAGTGTGTTAATGCCATAGAGTTCCTGTTTTATTTAGGATTGCTTGGGCAGAGTCTAATTTTGCACTAGCTATGAATTAACTGGATTTTGGAAATACGGCAGCTTGAAGCAGACTTCTTATTGGGGGAGAGGCGGAGTTTTTTCCTCCACCCTTTTGAAGGCAATTGTTTGGCACGGTTACTGCTGGAAAAAAACTGGTTTGTTCTACCAGTTCAACTTTGGGGTCTTGAGCACAGGGTGTGCGTGCTGTGGCTTGGTTGCTGTTGGGAGGTGGGTGTTTTCCCTCGCTTCCTTCAGCATTGTAATAACGTCACGTGGTACTTTTCAGCAGGCAAGCTTTCAGAACCCGCTTTGCTATGATGATTTTGGAAAGATTGCAGCAAAGTTGTGGGGGGGGGGGGCACCAGTGTGGGTGGGAAAGTCTGGATCTTCTCAGTCCTGCCCACCTGTTTAACCTGTTTGGAATGAAATCTCACGGTGTTTACTGTTGCTTTTACTCCTAAGAAAGCGCCAAAGGTTAAGAGACTTGGGAAGCCAAATTGCACTGTATAAAAAAAATCCAGGATGATTGCCAATTTATCTCTTCTTTTAGTTAAATAAACACGTCTTGCGGCACCATCAGAACAATATTTCCAGTCTTTGATGGGTGGTAGATTGACAACAGTCTTCGTTAAAGTGCTTTCAGTTGTAAAGAGATGTCAGACAAGCTTACAAGATGCTCTAATCTCTCTCTCTCTTTTGTCTTTTATTTTTACATCAGTATAGGGGTACAGGAAAGAGAAAGGGTAGGGGGAAAAAAGGAGACAAGCAAAAAAACATAGGACACTTTTTACAAATATCAAGGCATACATTAGTAAGGGAATACATGATATAAAAAATCAAGATAATGACACTTAGCACATTTCAGACACTTCACACATTTCATCCTTCTATTTTCACATTAGGAATTGTCATTATTCCCTATCTAGACAATTGTAAAGAAAAATATAGAGATTAATTAACATTAGAGTGACAACTTTACAGATTACAATAATAAGATATAGAGGAGAAAAGACAGGAACAAAATATAATTTTTCATATGATAGTTTAGCATTTATATAATGCCTTGTTAATTATGTCTAAGCTAAGGAGATTAAATATAATAAGCATAAAAGGCTCTCCAGTTATTCTCAAACTTGTTTATCAGCCTCTTATTTATATAGTTTGTCAATTTTGCCATAACAGCATGTTCTTGCATCTTCTCTTTCTGATTCTCAAGATCTAGGCAAATAGGGTGCGCTAATCTCTTGTGTCTTTCAAGTTCCATATCACGGACATGAGGTTCCCTGATCTTCCCGGCCTAGAAGACCTGGGCATCACCGCCACTCCCATAGAGCAGAAAGCGATAGAGGTGCTACGCCGTCACCGCACATTCCGCTGGCTGGAAGCAGAGATTGAGGAAGCAAAACCGGCCAAACCCGTTACCGGCATGTAACAGTTAACTCCCGAGGCTTTGCAGCCTGGACTTGCATTGATCTTGTTTGTTCGAGAATCTGTACATAACAGAAAATTTAAATCCATCCTGTAGCCTTCATTGTGTACTGTTTTTGTTTTAGGATTTTCAGAATGACAGAGAGAGTCTGTGGCTTGTTTGTTTTTAAACTATGAATGGTCCCTGTCTGAACTGAATTCCAGCTCTCCTTGCATGCTGTTAGTTTTATGATTGCGCTGGCCTTAGGTTTTCAGTTTTTGATTCTCAGAACTGGGAAGATGTCCAAGGAGGTTAGCTGTCTTCACAGTTTTGACTTCGTATGCTGGGATAGGCAGTGGCCAAATGACTTGCCCAGATTCAGTGAGGAGCCCTTTACAGCTGAGCCTGAATCTCTGTGGCCCAAGCCAAACCCTTTGACCAGATTTCACCGTGGTTGCTTTCTCAAATAGAACTCACTGGCTCCATTACCTTTTTAAAATACCGTGTGTACACAAAACAAAACACAGCTCTATCATACAATCTGCTAAATAAGCAGACTGTTCTTCAGATTATTAGAGGGGCTGCATACAACAAGGAGAGTCTACGTAGTCACTTCATTTCTCACCATCCCCTTCTTTAGAGCTCTTGCAGCAATGCTGAGCGCCACAGAACCGAGTCCTTAGGTGCCATATGGCTGTTTACACGCATCATGATATGGCTACTGTTCATCTTTGAGATTCCAGGTAAACAGTGAGTTAGGTAAAGGTTTCCCTTGCTCGAAAGCCAGTTGAATCCGACTCTAGGGATGTGGTGCTCATCTCCGTTTCCAAGCCGAAGAGCCAGCGCTGTCCAAAGACGTTTCCGTGGTCATGTGGCCGGCATGACTAGACGCCAAGGAGCACGGAGTTGGGTCCTGGTAAATGTCTCTGCTGATGGAGTGAGGTGTGGATGCTCCTGTTTTCATTGAGTTCCCTTCTCTTGCTGCAGATCTCCAACTCCCCCTTCATGCTGTTCTGGAAGGGGGGTGTCCCTTATCATTTCCCCAGGAGCTTCCTTTGGGGGACAAATTTTCAGCTGGCACCAAGCCAGTCGTCCGTTTATGGAGGGAGCCAGGGCTTCTTTTGTAGAAAAAGCCCAGCAGGAACTCATTAGCATAATAGGCCACACCCCTGACAGTGCATTTCATTCGAATGCTAGGCCACACCCCCGTGGCTTCCCTTGGCTTCCCCAGGCAAGTTGGCCCTTCGACAGGCTGGGAAAGGCATGGGGAGGCATTTAAATGCCTCCTCGATCCTTCCAGGCCCCCCCTGGCCCGCCCACCTCGGAGTCGTCGGGGGGGTCACTCTCCAGGCCTTCCCTCTGTAGCCACACATGCAGAGGTTTTGGCTGTAGTGGGCGTGGCCAGCTCTGAAGCCAGCTGGAACTCCGTTCCTGTGCATTCCTTTCCTGCGCTGGAAGGAGCACTTGTTTTACCTCCATTTATGTAAAATGGTGCCTTAGAGGAAGTTTTATTTATATAATGCTAAAGAGTTTGCAAGGTAAATTTTGGGCGTTGTGGGGCAGGCATAGCTTACAAACAGAGCATAGCTTGCAGACCAGCTCTGCAAGGGGCAGAAGGGCTGATCAGGAAAATGTCTTAACCGTGAGTGTTCCTGTTTGGTGTAGTGGTTAAGTGTGCAGACTCTAATCTGGGAGAACCGGGTTTGATTCCCCACTCCTCCACTTGCACGTGCTGTTGTGACCTTGGGTCAGTCACAAGCTCTGGCACAGCTGTCCTTGAAAAAGAGCAGTTTGTGTCAGAGTTCTCTCAGCCCCACCCACCTCACAGGGTGTCTGTTGTGGGGAGGGGAAGGGAAAGGAGTTTGTAAGCCGCTCTGAGACTCCAAGTGAAGGGCGGGGTATAAATCCAATCTCTTCTTCTTCTTCTTCTTGTTCTCTTGGTTCCGAGAAAATTCCTGTTCGTAATGTTGGAAAAATCGAGAGCTAGGAAAAGAAATGTAATTAGCTACGAAGTGAAGGAATAATTTTGTAAGCGTGTGTGTGGGGAGGGGCACTTTTCATCTGGCCGTCCTCCTATCCCTCTGTTTTTTAGCAAGAGATGCCATCAGACATTCAAAGATGACGCCGAGACAAACGGGACGAACTTCCCCGGAGTTACCGCTCATTTTGATATGTTCTTTCTCAACGCAACGGTTTCCTATCAAAGACAATATAAACTCAATACAGGGAACTCTCCAACCACAATTTGCAATTTGATTATTTAAAACGGAATACATACAATTCTGCATCCCTACACAATATCTGATATCGGACTCTTTCCAGTTCTATGAATAAAACAGATTATATGTGTAACTTGTGACTCAATCTTGTCTATACAGTATTACAATACAAAAGTTATCTAAATATAATCAAAAATAACAATTCCTTACCCATTACTTCAAGAGCTCTTGACAAACGTATATATCTACAGACGGACAAGAAGTCTTAATTGCTACATACACGGTATCCAATATATTGACATGATTCTGTCACGTGCCTCTTACATTGATGATGCCAACTTATCATCCACAGTAATTTACATACAACTTGTAAAGATGTATACAATTTAAGTAATTGTTCATTATGCACTGCCATATCGGGCCAGTATTCCAGTTTAAACATAGATTCTTGTTGGCAACATTAAAGAATCCATTCCTTGGACACCCTAACTGCATGAACGCTTGTAAGATCTTTAAAACCACCTGGTAAACTCCTTGTCAGTTCTGCGCTAAATATACCTAATACATATTGTTCCTATAAAGGCATGTTGTTACACAATAATTCAATTTTGTTTATTTTTTATGATATAAATCAGCACACCCTATTACACATAAAAAGATATTACATAAGAGAATCCAGCATTAAGTCTTTACAGGAAGCATGACAGCTCTAATGCTGCATTGAGCCCAGCTGGCTGTATTGTAGATAATTTGAAGCACCAATAAGCCTCCCTTTGTAAAAGGATCTTATGTGTGTCACATGTGGTATATGGTTTTGAATGAATCACCTCTAACGTGACACATTTAAAGTCCTCTGGACCATGGCCAACTTCAGTAAAGTGCGGAACCAAGGGTGGGCATGTCTCGATCTAGACCTGTGCTCAAGCACACGGGTTCTGAGTGCTCGTGATGTTTGTCCTATGTATTTAAGTCCACATCCACACACTAGCAAATACACTGTCCCCTTAGTAGCACACATGGAGAAATGCGTCAACTCTTTTTTTAAAACCTAATTCTGGGAACTCTAGCACACCTGTTTCCCACATTAAAGAGCAAGCAGCGCATTTTTTACATTTAAAGTGGCCTGTTGGTAAAGTGTCATGTAGATACCTTGGGAGTATATCTGCCCTAATAATCTTATCCCGAATGCTGAGGGTCTTTCTAAATCCGATGATAGGAGGATCTTGACATGACATTATTCAAAATATGCCAATGTTTCAAAACATTGTGATAGACACTGCCAGATTTAGAGCCAGGCGCAGGAATCGCACAGACCTATTAAAGGGCAAATCGGAAAGGTCTGAAAACAATAGGCTGCATTGGGCCCTAGACTTTACAAATAGATCACAGGGTATAAGAAAAATAGTTTTGAAACATTGGCATATTTTGAATAATATCATGTCATGTCAAGATCCTCCTATCATCGGATTTAGAAAGACCCCCAGCATAGGACAAACATCACGAGCACTCAGAACCCGTGTGCTTGAGCACAGGTCTAGATCGAGACATGCCCACCAAGAGGCACCCTTGGTTCCGCACTTTACTGAAGTTGGCCATGGTCCAGAGGACTTTAAATGTGTCACGTTAGAGGTGATTCGTTCAAAACCATATACCACATGTGACACACGTAAGATCCTTTTACAAAGGCAGGCTTATTGGTGCTTCAAATTATCTACAATACAGCCAGCTGGGCTCAACGCAGCATTAGAGCTGTCATGCTTCCTGTAAAGACTTAATGCTGGATTCTCTTATGTAATATCTTTTTAAGTGTAATAGGGTGTGCTGATTTATATCATAAAAAATAAACAAAATTGAATTATTGTGTAACAACATGCCTTTATAGGAACAATATGTATTGGGTATATTTAGCGCAGAACTGACAAGGAGTTTACCAGGTGGTTTTAAAGATCTTACAAGTGTTCATGCAGTTAGAGTGACCAAGGAATGGATTCTTTAATGTTGCCAACAAGAATCTATGTTTAATCTGGAATACTGGCCCGATATGGCAGTGCATAATGAACAATTACTTAAATTGTATACATCTTTACAAGTTGTATGTAAAATACTGTGGATGATAAGTTGGCATCATCAATGTAAGAGGCACGTGACAGAATCATGTCAATATATTGGATACCGTGTATGTAGCAATTAAGACTTCTTGTCCGTCTGTAGATATATACGTTTGTCAAGAGCTCTTGAAGTAGTGGGTAAGGAATTGTTATTTTTGATTATATTTACATAACTTTTGTATTGTAATACTGTATAGACAAGATTGAGTCACAAGTTACAAATATAATCTGTTTTATTCATAGAACTGGAAAGAGTCCGATATCAGATATTGTGTAGGGATGCAGAATTGTATGTATTCCATTTTAAGTAATCAAATTGCAAATTGTGGTTGGAGAGTTCCCTGTATTGAGTTTATATTGTCTTTGATAGGAAACCGTTGTGTTGAGAAAGAACATATCGAAACGAGCGGTAACTCCGGAGAAGTTCGTCCCGTTTGTCTCGGCGTCATCTTTGAATGTCTGATGGCGTCTCTTGCTGAAAAACAGAAAGATTAAAAAAGCTTGAAATTGCCTTAAGAGTCAACTTATTCTTTCTATTCATTGTTATTGCATGCACTTTTGCAGTATTGTATATTTTGTACTTGTGTCATACTGCTGCCCCCCCCCTTTTCATTGTCGTCCTCCTATCCCAGCAGATGTGTGAGTACAGAAGCTGATCTGGGTCCAGTGATATACAGAGTTCACAATATATACCGGAGGGCTTTTTGCCCTTTAATGTAGTCAGCTGTTTAAATAGTTTTTTTGGCTAAGAACTTACAGTTGTGATTTTGAACTTGGGAAAATAGA